CCTTTCTGCTCTGCACTCAAGGGCCCTGGGATACTTGGGCAGGAAAGCCTGTCATCAGCAGCTGATGGGCCCTTGGCAAGGCCGGAGGCACAGGGCGGATCTGGGGTGACAAAGCCTCTCCCTCTAAGACGTGGCTCCAGGATGCCTGAGTTCTAGCTCCTCCTCCTAGTCCATCATGTGTCCCAAAGTCACTTCCCACCTTCATCTGTACCCCCATGTTTGACCACTGCATTCACTTCTCCAGTGCTTCTCCAATATCCCCTGGGCCACTGTCCACAGACGTGCTTCCCTTCTCTTCCTCACATAAGGGCAGCACAGTGACCACTGCTTTCACCTTCTTGCTGGCCCATGAGCAGCTTTCTTTTAGAAATATCAGTGGGTCCCCCAGAAGGCTGGCTGGGGGCTGTGGGCTCATTTGAGGAGGCCTGTGCTTTGCCCTGGACTCAGAAGAGGACCAGCTGGTGGGGTCAGCCCGTATACACATTTCTCAGCTGCTCTTCATGGTAGCAAGTGGGCATCTTTACTAGCCATGAGTCCCAGGGACCCACAGGGTGGACCCTCAGAGACCCCACCTCTGCTTCCAATGCAAGTTCCTCCTCCTTTCCTGCTTCACTGGGGAGTCTGAATTTGACCTTCTGGCCCACTGCCTGCACATGCTGGGCACCCCAGTCCCTCCTGGCTGCTGCATGGAGGCTGCTATGCCTTGACAAGCCTGGAGCTTGGGTGTCCAGGCAAATTTCTTTGGCATGAGCTGAGGATGAGATGATTTGATGGAGCCAGTTGTTCCCTCTTAAATATCATTAGAACCCCAAAAGACTCAGGTCCAAGAACTAGAGGTCAGCTCCAATCTCAGCTCCATTTCTTTGCAGCTTTCACATGGAGGAGACACAATAGGCCACCCCAAAATATGACTATGAGAGACCAGAATATGACACCTACAAATCTGACTATAGGTGACCAGAATATGTCACCCCCAAATATGTATCTTTGGCATAAGAATTATTTTGAGCTGCTTATTTGAGAAGCTGCAGACATAGGAGAAACTCTGAAAACAAGGGTGGAAGTTACCCTTTGTGGGAGAAATCCACATCTCTAAGGAAACTCTACCCTCATGGAGTATCTCCCACTCCATCCCAGAAAAGAGGCTGTCCCCAGATCACCAGAGTCTCTCCCCAGCGGAGAAGGCACCAACTTACTCATGGGGATTTCCTGGGCACTTCCCAACATATCTTTCTTTGTTTTATTTGAATGTGGTATTTAAGCTTAAACTCAGAGCCATGTCTTTGAGATATACTCATTTTCCCATGAGTCCCACGTATTACATGAGGCACACAGGTTATTAAACTTCTATTTCTTTTTCTCTTGTTAATCTGTCTTTTGTCACATGGTCCAGCTCAGACTTATCAAGAGAAGAGAGAGAGAAAATGGCTCCTCTTCTCCACAACACAAAGTCCTCTGCTTCCCTCTGGACCCCTTCAATACCTGCCCACACTACAGCAAGACCTCACATCATAGCACTACTGACCTCTACATGGCCTCACCGGGCCTGTGGTTAGTGTCCTCCCTTCCCCTGGGCTTCTTGAGGTCATAGGGTCCCCATCAAGTATTCCTGAGCCTCCTGGTATCTCAGAGCAGGCAGGGCTAGTTCTAAGCTCTCTGCTCCCCTCATTCCTGGGAGCGCATCCACACATGGCTTTTTTGCATGTTCCAAGGACTCACAGTCCAAAGTCAGGTTCCTAATCCCCAGCACCTAAAGCTGCTCAGAGAACAGGTCAGATAACAGCCCTCTCTAGGGCTCTGGCTGGATCACAATCCCCCCCACCCTCAACCTTGCACAGCTGGTCTCTTATCCCACCTTGGCTGTGGTCCAGCCCTCCATCTGGTCTCCCTGTATCTGCCCCAGAAGCCTCCCCTATCTGAGTCTGTTTCCCTCTGTGTTCTCAGCCCTGGAATGGCCTCTGCAAATAGGACCCACCCCAAAAGCCACCATGCCCAGGCCCTGCACACCCTCCTAAGTGTGACCTTGAGCATGCCCCCAGGCCAGGGCCTTTGCACTTTCAGGTTCTCTACTGAGAACACTGCCCCACACTTATTGCTTCAAGTACAAGTTTCTATCCACAGACCCTCTTCTGAACCCAGAACATTGAGGCTGCAGTGAGCTATAATGTCCCACTGCACTCTAGCCCTGGCAACAGATCAAGACCCTGTTTCAAAAAACAGTCATGTTAACCAGTTTGATGAAAATATTTCAAATTGTATATGAAAATACTACACTGTGCCCCATGTTTGCATTAATGTACACAGCTATCATTTAATAAAAAAAAAAAATAGTCATTCTCACAGGGGCCACTAGCATAAAATAGCCATCTCCTCACACCCAGAACTTACTACCCTTCCTGTCATACCCATTTTTAGTTTTGTACGTAACTCTTGTCACTATTTGACATATTTTACATTGGCTTATTGGACCCTTTAGAAGAAGAAAGACCCCAGAACCACCCTTGGTGTCTGATGGGGGCCACATCATTACCTCCAGGTGCCCTCCCTGGACAGCCCAGCCTGGCCTAGTGGAGCCTCTATCCATGGAGCTACAAGGCAGAGGCCTAAGGGCAGTCCATGCCCTGTATATGTGTCTGTGTCTGCATCCGTGTGTACCACTGTGTCCATGTGTGTGTCTGTGTGTGTAGCATTGTCTCTACAGGTCTGTGTGTGTAACCATCTGTGTATGTAGGTGATGTATGTGTGTCTGTAACTATCTGTGCATGTCTATTTGTGTCTGTCTGTGTGTCTGTGTGTTTAACTGTCTGTGTGTCTGTGTATCTGTGTGCCTGTATATCTGTGTGTTTGTGTGTAGCACTTTGTGTCTGTTTGTGTCTATGTGTATAACCGGCTGTCTGTTTGTGATTTTCAAATCAAATTATGAATTGAACCAAATCAAATTACTCCTCACAGTGATGTACAAAGGAGCCAAGAAGAAGATCCGGCCACAGACACAGCTTAATTTCACTCTACCTTCAGTCTGGTGTCACATCTTCCTTTAGCCTGTTACCCCTGGTCCCAAGGTGGGTTGTGGCATGTGGTCCCTTCTTTGAGTGCCTGTTCTGTGCCCATCCACAGGCATTATTGGAGGCTCCTGTCTCACTGAAGTGCTTGCAGTTTGGGAAAGATAATAAACAGGAATAGAAGGAAGTGTCTTGGCTCGGTGTCTGTGGCTCAAGCGGCTAAGGCGCCAGCCACATACACCTAAGGTGGCGGGTTCGAATCCAGTCTGGGCCCGCCAAAAAAAAAATAGCCAGGTGTTGTGGCGGGCGCCTGTGGTCCCAGCTACTTGGGAGGCTGAGACAGGAGACTCGCTTGAGCCCAGGAGTTGGAGGTTGCTGTGAGCAGTGAAGCCATGGCACTCTACCCAGGGGGGACAGCTTGAGGCTCTGTCTCAAAAAAAAAAGAAGGAAGTGTCTTTAGGCAGTGGAGTGGCAGGGAGGGAGGAGGCACCTCCAAATGACCTAGTGAGTTAGCCAATGCTGGTCCAAGGAGGAACCAAGAACTAAGCAAGGGAGCCCTCCAGTGGTGAGTGGAAAAGTCCAGACTTGATAGTAAGCATGCAGGGAGGTCTTATGAGGCCCCCACAACTAATAGTGATGGTTCATCCAGTCAGGCCACCCTACATCTGGCTGAAGGACATCGGCCACAGCTTTGGTATCCAGGGTCCATGGTCAGGGAGGGATGGGGGTACCTGGGGCCTACAGAAACTCAAGGCCAAGGGAGATACTTGCTGGATTGGGGTGAACACAGGCTCAGACCCAAGTTCCTTATCACAAGGCATCTGCAGCTGGTCTGGGAGGGGGCTTCCTTCACACCTTCCATAATCTCCTTGGTCTCTCTGGATAACCCTATCTGCACCCAAATGTGCTTGCTGTCCACACAAGCAGACAGGAAAAAAGAAGGGGTGAGCCTATGTCCTCTGGGTGGCCCATTTCCAGGTCAAACTGATCTCTGCCCTTCCCCCAATAGCCCCCAGCTCCAACTACAGGAGTTCACACTTATTTCACTGACTAGCTGCTTGGGGCCCCTTCACTTCATCCAACAAGTATCTAGTGGGCACCTAGTGAATGTCAGGCACTGGGCCAGGCACTAGTCCACAGGAATGATATGCTCAATGTCCTAAACTGGGGTGAGTGAGGGAATGCAAGAGAAGGGGCCCAGCTCTGTGCCCTGCCCTCCCAGGGGCCCCACCCTCTCAGTCTTGCTGCTGGATCAGTGCTAGGTAGGGAGGGGTTCTTCACTCATCTGCTTTGGAAACCTCCAGCACACTGAGAGCAGAATCATTGTGCTGGGCGGTGGGCGTGTCACGACCCCTCCTCTCAGCTACACTCACATTAATTAATATTCCATGTTGGAGGCTGGAGATTCAGACGCAGAATAGGCCACGTGTAGCAGCGTCTTTCCTCTGTGTGTGTGTAGGGGGACCTATTTTGCGCATTGGGGAGGCAGATGAGAAACACACACACACACACACACACACATACACACATACACTGCCTCGCCCAGAGCAAGCGAAGTGTCTCCCCCAGCACATACCGGGTACCTCTCAGCGCCAAGCAGTCCCAGCTGTGGGGCCGGCACCGCCAGGGTTAAGGCGCAGGCGTGTCCCCTTGGGCTGGGGTGGGGCCCGCGGGCAGGGCCCTCGCCGGCTGCTCTGGCGTGCCCTCTGGCTTTGGGCCCGGAGACCCACTCCTCTGGCCCCTCCCGCGGCGGCAGGAGCCCGGTTGTCTTTGCCGCCTCCTCTTCCTCGCCCGCTGAGGGGCCGCCGAGACCCGGCCGCGGGGCACAAGGTCGCCTCTCGGCGGGGAGCTCATCCGGCGGCGCAGACGCCCAGCGGCTCCGGGGAGGGACTTGGCCTGGGCTCTTGGCCTCGGCTCATCTGGGGAGGAGCCGAGAAGCTGCAGCTGGCGGCGGCCGGCACTGGGCGGGCGGCGGTCCGTAGAGGAGCGGCCAGGCCAGAGAGCCCTTCTTGGCAGGGCCCGCAACGCCGCTAGCTGCTCGCCTGCCGCAGGAGCCGGGGGCGCGGGCCCGGCGCTCTCTTGTCTTTCTTTCTCGGGTCTCTGCTGCTTCTTTGCAAACCACGGGAAGAAGGCGCCCTCTCCTTAGCGGGCCGGGAGCTGCAGAGGCATCGCGGGGCGCGGCCGATGGGAGGAGAAAGGAGAGAGGGAGCGGAGCCGGCCCGGGCCCAGCCGTGACTCGCGGGGCTGCGGCTCCGCCAATCTGCGGGCGCTGACGCGGGGGGCGGCTCCGCGGTGCTGGGATATCTGCCCGCCCGGGGCGCGGGGCGCCGAGGCTCGGCCGTGCAGGAACTGCGCTCCGGGACCGCCGTTGCACCTGCCTGGGGACCTCGCCGGCCGCCCCGTGCGCCCCCTCCCGCTCCTGCCCCTTGCTACGTCCCTTCGGCCTTTCACCTGGTCCCCATCTCCCGGCTACAGTGTGAAACCGCAGAGCCCTGCCCGAAGGAGCTGCCCCTCTCCGCCTGCCCAGAGCCCAGCGCGGCCCACGAAGCTCACGGAGAGGATCGAGCTGTGGATTGGATCGCCTCGCGCAGCCGCTGCCACTGTCCCCGGCCAGTCGCGCCCCAACGGGGATGGGACGCTGTGTCGGGCCCCCGGGCGCCTGATGAGCGTGGCCGCAGCCCGGGACACCCGCGCTGACCGCTCTGTTCGCGGGACCTCACCCGGTTGCTCCTTGCACTTCCAGCTCCGTGGAGCAGGGCAAGTGGGCCCGGCCGCTGAAGGCGCGGCCGCGCGGGAGAGACTGAGAGGGAACGGTCCGGAGATGGACCCAAGAGCCGGCGCTTCGGTGGCAGGCGCCCTACACGTTGTGCGGGCCCAGGGACAGCCCTGGAGCTGGTAGCTGCCTGGGCGCCGGATGGACCTTGACCTGCGAGGCAGCGCCGCGTTCGTGCCGAGCCGAAGCTAGAGGGGCGCGGGTAGAGAGTGCTGTAGGAGGCTCCCGGAGCCCCAGGCCCCATTGCCTGCGCGGCTATGAAGATGATCCTGGTGCGCAGGTTCCGCGTGCTCATCCTGATGGTGTTTCTGGTGGCCTGCGCGCTGCACATCGTGTTGGACCTGCTGCCGAAACTGGAGCGGCGCGCTGCGGGGCCGTCCGGGGAGCCCGGGTGCTCGTGCGCTCAGCCGGCTGCCGAGGTGGCAGCTCTTGGATGGGCTAAGGCACGGGGCCACCCTGGGGAGCCCCCGGCCGCCGGCGACGCGGGCTGGCCCAACAAGCACACGCTGCGCATCCTGCAGGACTTCAGCTCCGACCCCTCCTCCAACCTCACGTCCCACTCGCTGGAGAAACTGCCTCCAGCAGCTGAGCCGGCCGAGCGCGCCGTTCGGGGCCAGGGTCCCGGCGCCCTGCGACCCCGAGACCCTGCTCACCGGCCGCTGCTTCGAGACCCCGGCAACCGGCGGTCGGTGCCGCCTCCTGGTCCGGGCGGGGATGGCTCCCTCTTGGCTAGGCTATTTGAACACCCGCTCTACCAGGTGGCTGTTCCGCCGCTAACGGAGGACGATGTCTTATTTAATGTGAACAGTGACCCCAGGTTCAGCCCAAAGTTGGCAGAGAACCCGGACTGGTGAGTGGGAGCTAAGAGCCCAAGGCACTGTGTACACAGGTTCAGGCACACTGGTGATGGGAGCCCTCAGAGTACAGGCTGGGCTAGGGGAGTGTGTGCCTTTGGTTTGGGTCTCTGCCTTTGTCTCCTTCAGGACACACCGGGAAGCTCTGGGAGGTGTTCCCTGTGGCCTGTACTGTGGAAGGCAGACAGGACCCTGGGAGCTAGGGCAATGCCATGCTCCATTTAGAAGAAAGTGTTGGCTGGTTTCTGGCTTGGGACGTGGAGTCAGGCAGTGAATGAATGAGTTGAGGAGTCAGGGAGTGAGTGAGTGAGAGTTGCCTTTCCCTAGGAAGATGCTGGGCTGCAGACCTTTCAGGGTACTTGACAACACTGATCTGGGTGGATATCTCAGAGAAGGTCTGCATGTGCCTGATGTCTTTTAAAACGGTCACTGAAAACAGAATTGTCAGGGGAATGTGTGGCAGCAATAAGTACAAAGAGGTGCCCTCCCAGCCAAGGTGTAGACGGGCGTGCCCACTGCAGAGGGTGGTGGCTTCAATAAATGCTTTGAAGCCACCCTGGAAGCATCTTTTTAACTGTCCCGGTTAAACCCTTCCCCCGCAAGGCCCTTCCCACAGCTGCACAGATCAAAACAGGCAGATGCTGCAACCCAGAATAGTGAAATATTAACCACCAGCAAGGCCAGGATAAATAACTACCTGCAAAAGGTTACCCAAGCAACAGAGGGGAAGGCCAGGCTTCCCAAACATCATTGGAAATCCTTTCTCTCCTGAAATTTGACCAGGCCCAGTGTTTTCTGTCTAAATATGCCAGGCTGTTTGGTAGCCTCTGAGCTTTGTCTGCTGGCCAGGCTCAAGGAAATGCTCAGAAACTTGAGAATCAGAGCAGTGGCCCAAGCCTGTGGCTCTCACAGGGAATGATGGGCTGCCCAGAGTGGTCAAGGAAGTGGAGCCTGGGAGGCTTCTAGCCCACTCTTCCTGTCCATTGCAGGACAAGACTTGGACCAAAAGGGTCTTAGCTGCAGGTGAATTAAGAGCTGTAATAAGATCTGCTTTTCTTCCAGGCCAGCAGGCAGATGGAGGGTCTGTCCTTCCTCTAGAACTGTCCCTCATCCCCCGAGATGTGAGGGAAGGCCATGTGGGCAGCAGGCCCTTAATTTGAACCTGGGCTGGAGAGAATGGCTGCCTCTTTCCTCTCTCCCCACCCAGACTGCCCTCATTAAAATCAAATTTAGCCTCTTGCATCATTCCAACCCAGGTTGTTGGAACAAAAGCAGAGAGCCTGGGCAAGGTTTCTGACAGACTGGGCGTGTCTGTGGTCAAGACAGGTTTTCTTCTCTGCTCACAGGGAGGGCTGAGAGCCCCTAACACCCCCAGATGACATCATACTTGCTGGACAGTTTTGGTGACCCCAGGACAGATGTGGCAAGGCAGTGGGATAATGTTAACATTTTGGGGTTAGTCTTGCTACATTATAGCTATCCCTGGCATCTCCCAAGTGTAAATAAGAATTATAGGCCCTTAGAGGTGTTATTAGTTGGTAGAACAACAGCTATAGAAGAAAGTGCAGACATCGTGGGGCCCTTCTTGAGTAGAGGCATCTTCAATAAATCTGTACTTACTCTAACCTGAAGTTAAAGACCTTGGTGTCAATGATCAGCTCCCCTCATTCATCCTAATCTTGCTACACTGTCTGTTTTTGTTGACTGTGGATCATCTTTCTTGTCTACAGGCCACGTGAAGGTGCTGAAGGTGAAGGGCTCTTGTCCACTGGGGAGGCGGCTGTGGACTCCTATCCTAACTGGCTCAAGTTCCACATTGGCATTAACCGTTATGAGTTATACTCCAGGCATAACCCAGCAATTGAGGCTCTGCTGCATGATCTTGGCTCCCAGAAGATCACTAGCGTGGGTAGGTGCCTGTGGTGAGCACTCAATGGGTGTGTGTGCTGGCTCCAGACAGTGCCAGGGCTGTCTAGGCTGGCTTTTCTTTAGTGAGCTCTGGGAAGCCACTGCTGGCTACTGGAGTATTGCCACTAGTGCAATTTGCACGGGCAGTGTGGGTTGAGGAGTCTGTAGGCCTCTGTAGGCACTTCACATGCTCTCAGCAATGGGTGGGCTGCTGTTCCAATGGGTTGGGCTTGCAAGATGAGCAAGCAAGAGATGCCACAACTGCCTTGATATTGAGCTCTGCTTCCTCACTTGCAGAGTCGTCCTGGGTGGGCACTGACAAGACCACAAAGTCTCCCCTCAACCTGGTGAAGGAGTAGAGGGGTATGCCTGGTGGCTGCGCCCCTCTCTCAAAAGGCTGTGCACAGGGTTTTCTTTCTCCTTTTCTGCACGTGACCTGGCTTGGTGGAGGGACAAGGATGAGAGCCAAGGAGGCTACTTCTTGTGGCTTTGAACCAGGTCTGCACCAGAGTTCAGCCAGGTGCTATGTAAATTCCTATGGACAGGATATAAGCAGTGATCCACTCTGTGCAGGACAGAAGCCTGGATGTCCAAGAGGGAGCAGTTTAAAGGCAACATCTCAAGTACTTTGCCATCTGCTGAATCGGACAAAAAAAGGCATCTAATTGCTGATTTCAGGAAAATGTGTCAGCAGCAGTTTCGCAGTGTGGAGGTTTGGTGCCATTGTTCTTGAGCTTGTAGGCGATTGTCTGTGAAGGTCCCCATTAGTCACCAGTGGCTTGGGGAGGCAGTGGTGGTGGGCTGTGACCCTTCAGCAGGAAGAACTGCTCCCTCAGGCTTTGTAGGGAGCTGTCCCGGGTGCACACAGCTCGGATGAGGGGAGTGGCCAGTAGGAACCCAAGGGCAGCTCTCCAGTGCAAGGCACTGTTATCATGTGTGTCTGGAGAGTGATTCTGGTGCTGAAAGGGTTCCAGTAACCTGGGTTCTGTGCAGTTGCTTACACAGAGGAATGCTAGGTGCAACCTGTCGGGCTGGCAAGTAAGTTTCCCAGAGTTCTTGAGAAGCTATTCATGGCTCCCCCTGCCCAATGCTGAGTGGTTTGCTGGGTGCTTACCTTGCTGTGGGAAGGCAGGAGGAACTTGCAGCTTTCTGCCTATCTGATGGTCAGGGTGCCCTAAAGGAAGAGCACTGGTCAGGATGAGGTGCTGGTCTTCCTCCCTACTTACTTACACCTTCCCAAACCCAGGCCTCCCTGCTGTCCTTTGTAGGGTCCAGAGGGCTTTGGACTGTGCTGGGACTATGCTGGGACATCTCACACAGCTGCAGCCAGGGTGCTTCTTCTCTGAGAGTTAGCATGGACCTTAGGGGACTATCTGCTGCGTTGACCTGCTTGCCTGTCCCTCCGGCAGGTTTTATAGGGTATTTTCTGCATTTCAGACTCCTTCTGGGTGTGAGGAGTTGAGGGTGGACCTGACAGTCACAGGAAGACACTGAGGTGTCAGGTGCTTTGGAGAGGAGAGAGCCTCTACAGGATATGGGGATGGGGAAGCTCCCCAGGGAAAGACTTCCGGCATAGGAGGGAAGGGAATGGCAGCAGCACTGCACAAGTGGAAAGGATATTGGGGAAGTGCAAGGAGCGTCGCTGCTTGGTGTGAGCCTCTCTACAGCTCAGTTTCCCCATCTGTTGGATGGGGTCATGCTGCTCCAGACCACAACAAGGATGGGATGAGATGGGAACGTGAGCACTCTTGTAAAACATTAACTAGTGTCTTGTGCATTGAGCTTCCAAAGCTGCCTCTTGTGTGCCAAGGGCAGGGTCTGTGCACAGAGGGGGCTTTGTGGACACCGAAAGGTCCTTGCTGGGCACTGCAGCATCCCACACCCCCAGGGACCGGTCGCCTCCCAACACACGATAGACACCTGCTCTGTGCAGAGGGAATTCAGTGCCCAGGAGCTCAGAGAGCAGCTGCAGGGAAAGGGCAAGATCTCGGGGCAGCTTTGCCCACCTTGGGGATCTTTCTGTCCCAATGTACTGGCCTTGGGACATCCTCCCCACTGTGGTGTGACTATCTAGGACATTGATGCCTACACTGCCTGACTTCAAAGTGTGGTGCACAGAGCCTATTGCCAGGGAATCCCAGCCCCAGGGCTCTGGCATGGCTTTGGCCTGGCCATGTGCCCTGGTTACATCCAGTGCCTGTCTGCTTGCAGAGGGGCCGTCCAAGCTGTTGTCTCTTGATCTCTTAGATCACACCAGCTGGGTTGGTTCTCATCCAGTCTTCCCAGGGTGGGGCCCATCTGAGGGCTGGGTGGTTGTTCAGTCCTGCTGCAGGTGCCTAGCAGGGTTGGAAGGCAAATCAACGAATTGGAGCAGGACAGGAGGATCTGCACCAGAGGGTCTGGGGTGCTCCCCAGCTCCACAAGTCACTAGCCAGAGTGACTTTGGGAAAATAGATTGGCCCTCTGGTGCCTCTGGTTTCTCACCTGGAACATGGAGTGGTTATAATCTAGACTCTCAAACCTCCAACTTGCAAATCTGAAATCCCAGCAAAACCCATTTGACAGCAAAACTTGACTCATCCTGAACTTATTTGGAGGCAAAACCTAATTGTCTAGGCTTGTTCTAAATCCTTATTTTTCTGTCTTGGAGTGAATCTCACATGTTCCTCTGAGAAACAGGCGTGTGTTTGATTATGGGGCAGAGTGCAGTCTGCAGTAGGCATGCATCGTGGTCCTCTGGGTCATCTGAAATATTGGAAATCATAAATCCTTTTGCCCTTGGAGATTTTGAAGAAGAGCATGAACCTGTGATAAGTGCTTCGTAGGGTTATTGGGAGGCTTAAATGAGCAAATTGAGCGAAGAGGCAAGAGTGGAGTTTGGCAGCTAGTTTGGGGGCAGCCTACCTACTGGGGAAAGTCTCTGGAGGGAGCAATGTTCCTGGGCAACTCAGGACTAGGCGGACACTTGCTTCTTCAGGGTCTCACTCTGGACTCCAGACCCTCCTTTCCCTGTTGCCTTGGGCCTGGGGACACTCACAGGTGAGTTTCATCCTCACTTGTGAGCATAGCAGCCATGTCGAGGCCCAGGTCTCATCTAGAGGCTACAGTGTCCTCAGGGGACACGAGCTCTCTTGCCCAGCTGACCTGACTCTGTCATGACTACTCTAAGGGTCCTCCTGAGTGACCATCCAGCTGGGAGTTTTGGTGAAAAGCCAGCTGCTTGAGATAGCAGCCCCTGGCTGGGCCCTTGGCATGGAGGCTGGCTCCCTGGATAGGAGCTGTCTGCTGTTCAGAGGTCCCAGCACTGCTGTGACCAAGAACAGGTGGAGCCCTTAAGAGCTAGTCCTGCCTTCCCACCTCTTTTCCACAACTGGGAAACCCAGGCCTCCAAAGGAGAGCCACCCAAGGCTGACACCTCCTGCTCTTGACTCAGAGTTCTGTCCTTGGCCATCCAGCCACTGGGTGGTCACTTTAATCTTCAGTTATTCATCTCATTATTAAATGTGAGTTCAGAAATATTGTTGTAACGGAGAGTGATGCCTGTGAGGTTCCAAAGCCTTCTCAGAATGGTTCCATTAAATCTCCCCTGCTCAGAACTACTTGATCCAATTCACGGAGCTCTGTGTGGTCCGCAGCGCAGCCGGTATGGCCAACAGAGATTTATTTATAGCTGGGCTCCTGGCTGCTTGGTAACTGGTGCTGCTACCTTTAAAGAGGCTGAGGATATTATCTACCTCTATTCAGCTTGAAACCAGGCATGTCGAGCCTTCGGCTGGGGCTGGTGATAATTAAATCGCTATCATGCACAATTATGGATGCAAAGAATAAATGACACAATTAACTACTCTGTTCTTGGAATTACTTTAAAAAAATCAAGTCACACAGGCATGTGAGGATTTAGGCAGCCTCTGGCCTGAAACACAGACTTCACAGTTGCTCCATCTAGATTGGGACAAAGCCGACGGTTAGGAGAACGTGCCTGAACAAAGAGAAAGGAATCCACGGGACAAAAGTCCCCAACATTAATTGATCTGCCAAAAGGGGAAGAATGAATCTCTCTAGAATCTGGGACTAATTGGCTCTGAGCTTGGAGGAACAAAGGCCTTCAGCGGGGCAGCTGCCTGTGGGTTCCTGGCGGGTGGAGGTGGGGGTGGTGGGGCGGTGGTGACAATGTCTAACAAATCAGAGGCAGGACTTCTTAAAAGGCAGTTCCAGCCCAGAGAGGCCACGGTTCCCTTCCCACTGCCATTACAGGCTGTGGTCCCAGGCCTGACTCCGCTGACCTAGAGAGTGAAAACTGAAGATGCCCTATTAGCTGGGTGCCCAGGCCCTTGTGTTGGGGGGCACAGGGGATCCACAGAGGACAGCAGCCACCTGGAAAGGACATGCAGCTTCCCTTTTAAATAAATATAACTTCCAAAATAAAAGGGAGCTGCCTCAAAGAAAAGCATGAAATAAGTAATAATCTGGGCTGGAGGCAGTTATGGTGAAAGCATCCTGAGGGTGGTGTGTGAAGGTTGTGAGTTTGGGCAGCTTGATGTAGACTCGATGGGGGTCCAGGGCAGGTGAACCCCAGCTTAGATCAGGTGTTGCTCCTGGTCAGCCTCTTCTGCCTATTATTCTGCCTGTGGGAGCAGGTACTCATAGCTCTAGCCTCTTCAATGCCCACCTAGGGTGCCCACTGCTGTGACCGGCAGACAGACACACTCTTTTCTCCAGAACCAGGTCCCTCAATGGTCAAGGACAGTGGCCTCAGAGCCTGGGATATTAGGCAGACCTCTTCTCTAGTCTAGGATGTGTGGGGTGAGGCAGAGAGGACAGGGTGACCTAAGTCCTACTAGGGACACATTTTCCAAATTTGAACAATCCTTGGGCAAGGCCCTTGCTTCTAGCCAGACACTGGTTCCAAATAATCACCCATCTCTCAGAACAACAGTGTTTTATTCTGACCCTTAAGACAGTGGCTGTGAAAAACAGTCCTACCACCCAATCATGATCCCCAAAGACAGTCATCAATTGCATTTGCAGATGAAATGACCAAGGGCAAAGGTGGCAGTGTTAGAGGCCCCACTGATGGCTGGGCAGTGTCTTACCACCCACGTGTGGTCCACAGGCCTTTAAAAAATGGGATTAGTTAATTTAAAAGTCAGGGGATGGCTCATCCAAATACAGGTTGGGGTTCTTGTTAGAAATAGGGAGATAGTGGGTGCTGGCCCAAGATCCCACTGGAACAAAGGCTGAGTAGTAACTGTGCCTGGTGTCCCAGGACCCAGTCACTCCTGCCCCCTTGCCCCACCCCACACACCTCCTGGCCATCTCCTCCCAGGGCCACTTTCCATCCTGCCTTTGGGGAATTCCTAGGGTATTGCTAGAGCTGTCTGGAGGTCAGGTGACTGGCCGGCGTCACACAGATTGGGGTTGGACGCCTAAGCCAGTTAATATGTCATAAGATATGTCAACATCTCTCAGGGTTCTTCTGAGGGTGACTGCATGTCAGTGTCCTCTGTGCTGTTCTGTGTTCTGGGCAAAGAGAGCAGAGCCTGGTGGTGTCCAGGTTGGAATGAAAGTATAGGGCACTCTGTTAATGTGTGCCAGTGTGTCATGGTACTGCACGGCGCCACCTATCATTGGTGTTCATTGGTCATGTCTGCTCAGGTCTGTCTGGGAACAGGGCTCCCCAGGGGTACCAGGGAAGATGCAGAGCTGCTGTTTTTGGACTAAAGATGGGTGCCTTACAGGGGAAGAGAATTGGGAAAGCAGTAGGCCCCTTCCTGCATGCATGGAGCAGATGTGTGGCTGCAGTGTGGGATGGCACCAAGGAGCAGGCTGGAGGTTTGCTGATGGTGGCTAGAGAGGCAGCTTGAGGGAGTGGGGGACATTCAGCAGGCAACTCCCCAGGGGGCTTGTTCAGGGAGCTATATAACTTTGGGAGAGCCATGACAACTGCCACCCAGACTGGCTTACGAGCCTTGGTGGGATTGCCCCTCAGGTGGGTCACTCGCAGGCTGAGGCTGGCTAAGCTGCGACTGACTTATGTCAGACCCATGGGGCCAAGGGGACATCTCCACCTGCGGGGCCTTTGCCTTCACGGCTGGCCTTCTCGCACATGATGGGGTGAGACCTCCTTTACTCATGACATTTGCTCTGTCTTTAAGAAGAAGACCCCAAATTGTGCTCTCATCGTCATGGCCTGCCTGGCTTTGCCACCTGCCTGGACCCCTTTCCTCAGTGGCAGAGTGGGGACCATCCACCTGGCACACAGACTGTGGGCAGTCTGTACCTCCTGCCTACCCTGAAAAACATAGTTAGCCTCTGCCACACCTCAAGGCAGCTTGGGTGTTTTGCAGGGAGACCATGCCCAATTTTAGATCAGAACTCCAAATGTCTCTGGGCAGTGGACCAACTAGAGGACTGAATGGTGAGGCCAGGCAGGAGGTATGGTGAGTCCTTAGTCACTGTGAGATTTTAATGCCTTTGCTACAGAGCACAGGAGGTCAGGAGAGTGGCAGTGCAGATGGACTTGCTTCCAGAACAAGAATGACTACACTGCCCAGATTTACACAATATTTTGTTATTTAGCAAACTGGGATTACAGGCCAGCAAGGAGCTGTTGCGTCTTCCCCAGCTGTCTCAAAAAGGAACAATCGAATCCAGTGACCCCAGTTATTAAATGGGACATCAAATGGAGCTTAATTGGGCCACGGATTTTTAAATCATCATTTCCTTTTTTATCTTACCAAATATGTAGTAAATGTTCATTATAGAAATTTAGAAAGCATAGATAAGAAAAAAACAGAAAAGTAGAATTTTTCTGCAGCTCCACTCTTGAGAGAGAGCCACTGAGCATTAGGGGCCTGACCATGTATCCCAATTTTGGAAACCCTGCACTTATATACATGTTTTCCAGAAGAGAATGGTTCAGAGAGTATAAATGTTTCACGAGCTGCCTTGCTTAATAGTAAAATCATAAGCAGTTTGTTGCGTTGTTAAGAATCTTTAGTGCCAGCTAGGAAGGCAGGATAGCTTTCCACTGCACAGAGTCATGCACATCACTTGCTTGCCCCCAGGGCTGGGCACTCAAGTTATTTCCATTATTTGGTGGGAGTGGAATATGTGTTCTGGCCTCGTTTTCCTGAGGAGGGCATGTTTCCAGATAGCATCACCAACAGACCTGGCCACACAGTGGTCTGGGGGTGCCGAGTCCAGTCTCCTGGATGTCAGGAGCAGCGCTGTCAGCACAGCACAGTGAGCTCTGGAGCAGTGGCCGGAGAAGATCCTGGCTAGAAAGGAACAGAGCAGTAGCCTGGCCAGGGTCTAGACTTGCACTCAGGGCAGTGAGAACTACTGGGAATGTTGAGGGGACTTCTCACTTGAGTGACAGCTGGCCGAGCACTCCTGCTGGTCTAGGTGCTTTGCTTAGCCCTCAAGGCAGTCCCGGGACAGAGTGCGAGCATGCTCCTACCCTGCAGGCCGGGGCCAGAGGTGCTGAAAGGCTTCACGGTACATTGCACTGTTTTGATTTTGACCCCACCATAACCCCATGAAGAGGCTGTGTGGGTGTCTTGAGGTCCATCTAATAGAAGAGGAGACTAAGGTTAGAGAATTCTGGGGGAATCCTCGGAGAATTCAGTGTCCTTGAAAAAGAGGATGACTGGCAGCACACCCAGGCCCTTCAGAATCCTTCCTAAGTGCTGTCTCCGTGGCCATGGACAGCTGCCATGTGAGATGGCTCTTCCTTTGGGGCTGTGTGTTCTATTCCCTGGGGAACACCAGGGGCTTCCTTCCACCAGCTCTCCTGAGACTGTCTGCAGGCAGTTCTCCCAACATGCTGTCCCTGTCCACAGGGCCAGCCCTTCCCCAAGTTCTGTGCCCGCTCTCAGCACATGCAGGTGTCAGTGGGCCCCATCATGTGGAGAAACTGAGAAGGGGAAGGGCATCTGACTCTCATCATCTCCAGCTTCCTTCTGGGTCCCTGAAGCCTCTCGCCACATACCATGCCTGACCTGTTCCATGGCCCTTGCTGGGCACCCCCTCCTGGGGATCCTGCATGTGACTGGGGCTTCTGGTTGGCCTGTTCTCACCCTCTTCCTGAACTCTAATTATTCGAGTGTCCCAGGTCTTGGTCCTAGGCCCTCATTCTCCATGTTATGCCCTGAATTATATCCCCACCTCACTGTCCTCAGACCCTTGGGCCTCCAGCCCACCTAGTACCTCCCCAAGAATCCCTTGGGCACTGCAGTGTCCCATCCTGATTGAGCTTGATCTTTGCCCTGGCTGTCCACTTGCCCTGGCCGTCCACTTGCCCTAGCTGAAAAGGGTGACCTGGTTTCCTGCTTTGCTCCACACCCTGAATCCCTCCACCAAATAGTTCCTCATAGCTCCAGAAGTTTCTTGGGTGTTTCCATTTTTATGTCTGTTCTCTTCCCAGCCCACTGCCTTCTACAGCTGTCTTGCCCCACCCCAAGGCTTCTACCCTTGGTCCCTGGAAGGCCACTCACACGGCAGCCAGGGACGGTGTCTGTGTGCATCTCGGATGCTCTGCTGCCCAGTGCTGTCTGCTCTTGCCCTGCCATGGGCCGCTCTGTGACCCCTACCCACCACCCTCCCACCTACTGTGATGTGTCAACTACACAGCCCCTGCCAGTTTTGCAAATGTGCCAGCTGTCTCTTCCAAGGGCTGTGTGTCTGCTCCACTTCTGTGAAGGCCAAGCCCTCCTCTTTCAGAGAGCAGCTTGAATGTTACCTCCATGGAGAGGCCACTGCTGAGGCTGACCCCAGGACCCCCACCCCTCACATGTTCCCTCTGTCCTTTTTGCACCTGGGCAGCCAGAAATTATCTTCCTACTTATCATTTGCAGACTGGTCCACCTTACCCTGTGCAATGCAGACTCCGGTGGGGATTTGTGGCTCTTGTTCATGCTTGTGATGTTAGTGTGTGGCCAGTGGTTAGTGCCTGGCATAGACACACGGTGGGTAAACCCACCCATGTGATCTGGGTGCAGCTGGTCTGCACCCCACTGCATGCCTTGGGGTGGTCCCAGGCCAACGCCAGCCTTCCCTGGTGTGGGGAAACACATGGTAGTCCTTTCCTTCTGCTCCATCAGCAAAAAAGAAAAGCTGAGGTTGGGGAAAGGGACGTCATTTGGGGAATTCTGTGGCCTTCTCAGTTGGTGGGCTGGCCAGAAGCCAGAGTTATGCTTCCAGAGGCTTCTATATCCCCTGTGTGCTTATAGAGCTGAGGGAGCCACTCTCATGAGAGCTGGTGTCCCTAGGTCTCCTTAAAGTGGCTCTGCCCAAGCTGCCTCTGGGACCCTGGATATGTTGGCTGGAGGGGCCTCTCCTATTCTTCCTGGGCCAGAAGGGGGGGCGGGGGTTATATGGATATGGAGATGTGTGGATGTGTGGGTATATGTGGGTGAGTGTAGGTATGCTGGTGTATGGGGGTTGGAGGATGTGGGGGTGTGTAGGTGTACAGGTATGTGTAGGTGTGTGGGGGTGAGTGGAAGAGTGTAAGTGTATT